GGGGGGTGAGGAATGGAGGATCCCGTTTTTCTGGGGGGGGGCACGAGATTTCTGGGGGGCCAGGCCCCCCCAGGACCCCTCTAGCAACGCCCATGCTGCAAAGGAGGCATTAATTTCGGAATGAATTCGCTCAACATCTACCACGGGAAGGGTAAACTTATCTCGATGGCTAAAGCACGAGACTACAATCATATGTACGTTTGCGACGTTGTAGACTTCTATTCATACCTTACTTTTTCCTTAGAGAACTAGTCAACGTAGTTTCTTGAAAACTATTTTGGTTTTTCTTCTCCAATGTAAGTAAAATATTCTGTATTTTCAAGCTATGAAATTGACTTGTTCCTCATCGGAGTAAGAAACTAACGGCGGAGATTTTGAAACACCGCAATGGAAGTGGTCTAGCACTTCGGCCACCGATCTGCTTCCCGCCTTTTTCTGTCTGTCAAGGACAGCGCAGCGACTCGCGCTTATCTCGGTTCTCGACGATTCAACCGAGCCGAAGCTGGTGGACGCTCCGGCGACGCACAGTGGGGTGAATCTGGCAAAACCGGGCATGGGGTGTTCGCTAGTTTCGTGCAATTTGTGCGGTAGAACGTGTTCTCTACCGTGCTAAGGAAGAGCGCCGTATTAACATTTGAAAGTTGCCAAATTTCCACCGATAAAATGTTTATTTTCGAAGGAAGTTATGAATATTCTTCCTTTAAATTTACAGAGTCTTTAGGTGAAATTGCGAGCAAAATTATCTGAAAAATTGAAAGGAATATATTTAAAACTTTACCAGGAAATTCGCGTTTTATCATGGGAATTTTGGCAACGCCTGAAGGCTCATACGGCGTTCTTCCTTAGCACGGTAGTTCTCAAGTCTGCCGTGTTACGGATGAGAGTTGTGAGCAGTAGCAATTTTGCAAGTTGGTAACTCTGTTTTTCCTCTATTTAAATCCATTGAAAATATCGATTTGAGGCGAGACGAGCTGCCTCACCAAGAATCGATTGTTTCACATACATTTAGATGGAGGAAAAACAGTGTTGCCAACTTCCAAGAGTCGCCACTGTTCGCAAGTGCATTTCTGCGGTGAGACACAGTTAGCACATGCCCTTATGTGCCTCGAGGTTCACACTAGACTGACTTTTTTTTTTTTTTTTCTGTCAAGAGAAATTATTTATTCGATAGATACACTAGACTGACTTGTGGCTCTCTTTCGTAACAAAGCAGAAGTATGATATGAATCTAGCATTGGTTTAATGTTTTATGTCAGATGGTTTTGCCCCCTAAACTCCTGAAGGTACCATTCCGTGTGAACTCAGTTCTCGCTCTACTTTCTGAGGTTGTTCTCCTTCGGGCCAATGGGACTACATTTGGACTGCATTTTGCAATATGGAACTGTAAAGTCTGGCTCTTCTGGATAAACACTTATGTGCATGGGGAAATGTACGTGCCGTACGTTGTTTTTAAACCGGGCTAGAAATTATAGTTCCAAATTGCAAAATGTAGTCCAGTTTACAATTGGGGACTACAATATCTGGCTCATCGGTAAAAATATTTATGTGCATAAGAAACTAATGTGACATATTTTGTTCCTAAACTGAGCCACAAATTTGATTTCCAAATTGAAAAATGTAGTCCAATACCAATGCTTGAATTTATTCTGCAATGCCAAGGAAAAACGCCGTATGAAGATTTGAGAGTTTCGAAAATTCCTCTGATAAAATGACTACTTTTGAAGGGAGTCATGAAGATCGTCTCTTGAAATTTTCAGATGACTTGCATCTAACCGCCAGTAAAATTCTTTAAAAAATTTGAAGAAAAATATTCACAATTTCCCTGAAAATTAATATTTTATCAAAGCAAATTTGGCAACGTTTGAAGGCTTACATGGCGTTTTTCCTCAGCACGGCAGTATTCTAGAATGTATGAAGGACATATTTCACCATTGAAAAATGTCCCATTCTAAGGATTGGGATGTCAAAGATAATTCTCTCAAAAATAAGGAAATATAATAAAAGTTTGAAAACTTTTGAAATATTCGCCGCATCTCGCCGTGAGAACATAAGTAAGGCGTGTTGAAATTATTCCTCGAAACTACGAGGACTTATATGCAGGAATTAGGCACATACCAAAGGAAGAGTGAAAAAATGGATTTTACGATGAAAATACTCTCAGACATACTTAGATGACTGAACATGTATACCCGACCAAATGATTTATATTTCTGAGTACCTTTCCTTTTCTCTCCGAGCTTTTTCCATTTTAACGAACATTTTTGAAAACCCCCAAAATTAATGCACTCGTGTCAACACACTTGACAAGAGTAAGGCCATAAAATAAAATAATGCAGTCTACGATCAAAATACCATCCGTAAGCGAAGTCACAACACGAGATCAGAGTTGCACGAGTGAAATGAAAAATATGATACATTGAAAAGTTCCGTGAAATATTTCATGAAGTTTCACAAAGTTGTGAATAATATGAAACATACCTTCAGGGGCTGAGTATGCAACACGCAGTAAACAACACCAAAAACCAAAAACCAGTCGCCTTTAATTTGATTTTGCATTTAATATGGAGGAATATTTTTCAATATTTTTCATATTTTTCCGAAATTTCATGAAAAATTTTACATGGAATTTCAAGATTTTATTTTTCATGAAAAATTGCAACCCTGCACGAGATGCCGACAAGAACAAGTAAAATCTATCTTGAGTAATTTTTCTTCTTACGCATTCCATCAAAAGTTTAGAATCCCCGAAATTATCATGTAGTTTTGTCAACGTAAAGACAAAAATAGGATCATACAAGAATTCCACGATTAAAAGACGATGGATGTGAGAAATTTCATCATGAAACGAAACGCCTACCGAACGAAAAGACAAAAACGAGTGAAAAAGCCGAATCAAGTTGAGGAGAAATGAGAATAAGCGATAACCGGGCATTTTCACTCCACTGTGCGACGCCGCAACAGCCCAGCAAGTTACAAACTGTTCGTGTGCCTCATCATACGCGGGCCAATCAGCAGTGAGCACTGGACGCTTTTGCACACCACCCCAAGTGACTAGCCGCTAGCGTCAGGCGTCACTTTCTTCGCAGTTTCGTTCCGGCCGCAGACGCGTTGGCTCATTACGCATTCTCTCGCACCGAATCCGAGTTCTTGATTGAGATGTTATATTCCTCTTGATTCTTGTGTTCTGTGTTTGATTAAATTGAACGCAGTATGTAATTAATCCATATTTCCATCGCGTTTCGTCGTTATTACGTGTTAATTTGCCCCGGTTTTCGGATTCATGTGAGTTGTGTCCGCGTCGTCGATGCACCAGTGACCGCGTTCGGGTAGTGATGATCGTGCCTTCGTGTTTCTTTGAAAACTTTCGGTTTCGATTCCGCAGTGTGTTTTCGAGTGTTGCCCTTATTGTGAAGACGATGTTGGATATCTGGTCAAAACGATGTTTGTTCTTGTACTTGCTTCTAGAAGGATTTGGTTTTGGGCCTGGATTCAGGTTTGATTTATTGCACGCATCCTCTATAGTATATTTTAGATTCTGCTCAAATTCGGTGTCGTTCATCGCTAAAATGTAACAGTACTACTCATTTTGTGTCTCACTTTCTTTGTCTTTCCCAACCTAGGTATCTGATTTTCGTTCCATCTCCCTCATATTGTGTATTCTTTTCACTCTTAGTTACCTTGTGAAGAGCAGGCACACAATAATTCGCTGTTGTATTGCTACCTATGCATTTTAAATCCAGGTATATCCTCACTCATAGTTGGACTGCATTTTGCAATTTGTAACTATATATTTTGGCTCTTCTGGAAAAACATGTATGTGCATAGGGAAACTAATGGCACATACTTTCGTTGTTTTTAAACCGGGCTAGAATCTATACTTCCAAATTGCAAAATGTAGTCCAGTTGTTATCCCGGTAAATTTGCAGTTAAACTGCAAATTTAATGTTATGGCTTTTATCCAGACTGGATGAGTGTCTCGTATGGGCCATGGTACACTGTACCTAATTACTGAGATAATCATTCCTAGAAGTTGACTTCAAACATAATTCAATGGTGCTGTGAAATAGTCTAAGTATCTCATCTAAGTTCTAAATACTAGCAGGCACCTCTTTTTCTCCCATCTGTATGAGCAGCTCAGTAGATCTCTGCTCAACCATCAAATCAGTTTGACGTTAGAGCATGGAAGCTTCTGTGAAAGCAAAAGCAATTTTCATTACATTTTTGAAAGTTTGAACTCCTCGGAACTATGCCATGTCAGCTTCCACCAGGGCAACTGAACATAGGTAGTGTCTGTTTCAGTCCCTTAGCATATAATCTACCCATCGGAAAAGTTTCCATTCATAGCTCAATTAGTTTTATTGCTGCTTAATTTTCCGCAGCGGCTGTTTTTCCTATTTGTAAGACCGGAGTCTCTATCAACCGATTCATTCACTCAATCCTTGGTGCTCGAGCCCCTTCTTCACATCATCCCTTACCTACTTTTATGGATTATTGGGAGTCAATGTGTTTTGTATGTTTCTTAATTTGAGGAAGTTTAAAGTAGATTTTCCAGGAAATTGTGCCTAAAATCCCAACTTCCCTTAAAGTATTATAGGACAAACGATTTTTTAGTCTCATGAGGTTTTTTCTTCACCCTTGAATGGCTCTAAGTTTGCCTTCTCTAAAATTAATGTTTGATAAAATTTGCCCTATCCAGAGCGATAATATCAGGAAAATTTACGATACCCCATATCGGATACATTCGGAGATTACTCGGAGAAAATTATCTTACATACATAGGCGTAGCTCTTAGGAATCTGAGTGGGTCTGCCCCCCCCCCCCTTCCTCTCAATTTCGAACCTGTGAACTACTTAGCACACAGCTTAAAGCTGGTGCATTTTCTTGCTTCATTGCTATGTATGTTAGGAGAGTGAAAACTGTTCGAGATAGTTTTTAAGGATCAATGGTAGAGTTAATCAGCATGTTTTTGCACTTGGCCTTTTGCAAGAGAGAAGCCGTAAAATGCATTCAAGAAAACTTAGTGTTACTAGATTTTCCGGGAAAGAGCTCCGGAATTTCTCCCTTACTGGGAGGACGTAAACACTCAGAATAGAAGAGGTCCAGGCTACCCCCAGTTTCTTTCAGCTACGCCTGTGTACTTTTCCCAGGAAGATTCCAAATATTTGAGACGAGTGAGACAAAGATGTCATGAAAATTGTCCTTCCAGAAGGTTAATTTCCAATTTTAGAGAGGCTATCAATACCCACTCGTCCTGAGAGAAAAACGCTCCCGTAAATCGTAGGTTCTGGGTAAATTTTTTTAAAACCAAATTCAAATAATTTCAGGGCATCAAGCTCAGAGATGTCGCTCCGAATCCGTTTTTGTTTTAATCCTTAACTAAACTTGGGTTGCTAGAGTAGACCTCAAATAAATGAAAAATCGCTTCTAAAAATTACATCATTCCATACCATAGGAGGAAACTTCACAGAATATTCACCATGTTTCCCCCGAATGCATCACTTGCTCCTTTCATTTCATTATCATTCATGAAGAAGTAGAGATCAGGTCCGAAATTCCGTGGTGAATTTTCGGTCAGGTGTTCGGAAAAAGTGGAAAGGGGATAAAAACAGGCGGGAAAAGGAAGAGGGGAAAACCAACGCAAGCCCACCCAGAGTCCGACTCGACCCGATCCCACCGGATGCTGAGTCTCGCAGACGAACAAATCTTTCTAGGAATTCTTTCGGGTTCGGCAGATTTCAGCCGGCAGACCCCACACTTTCGCTTCGAAGTCTTGTCTTTCGCTCGCCGTATGCCGATAATCATTGATTCCCCTCTCAGCCATCCATCCAGTCTCTTCTGAGTTACATAATCCAACCGAATCTTCAGATAAGGGACTTGTGCTCACTTTCAGGCCCCTTCCATTTTCTCCGTCCGGAGGCGACCACCCATGATAACATGAGTTGGTTGAAAATGTCTCCTGACTCTCCCTCCCCGCTTCCCACTCCTCCTGTTTCCTATTTTTATTCAACTGTGAAAAGTAATCATTCCGATTTTTAGGGGGTTCTCAGCGCTTAGGAAAACAAACAGTTTATCGGTCTACCAACTGATAATTTATTGTATTAATGTTTTTGCTGAAAGTGTGTTGATACCTACGACATTACGGTCGTAGCACGTACTGTAAATTGTTCTTTTAGTAAGTAGCCAGTGACAGTGTTCGAAACTCACATGCGCCAAACGGGCCCAAGAAATCGCATATGGCGCCTAAAAAAATGAAGGCTCTGTGCCAATGTGGCCCCTAGACCAATTGCCCCTCCCCACTCCAAAAAAAGGCCTAATTTTTCTGTCAGCTGATTTTTCGAAATTTTGACGCACGGCACCGGATTAAGCTCGCGAAAATCAATACTTTCTTCAATAGGCAGTCGCATGAAGAAAAAGAAAACAAAATTGTTGGAATTGAAAAAACCAAGAATTTTCAGTTTACTTAGCAAGTAAACGCATTTTCTATTATTCACAATTTCATTCTTAGAGTTCTTCTCTTCCTTAAGTTACTGCTACTAGTTCTGTAGCTAGAAAAATCTTGCGTCTAAATTATCACTAAATGCGCCCTGAGATGTAGGCAAAAAGTCAATTTGACTCCTCAAAATTCTTCAATGGCCCGTAAAAATCGAGCCTGATTAGCCATGTGGCTCCTGAAACTCAAAGGTGAGTTTCGAACATTGGCAGTGATATGGATTAAAATGAATTTTTTAACTCTCATTAAAGTAAATGTATTTGTTTAAGGTTGTCAAAGCTTTTCGGCCTTATCCATCGTTAGAACTCTACAGAGAAAAATAATGCAAATCATTTTTCTCTGTTAAGTCTTGACGATGGATAAGGCCGAAAAGCTTCAACAATCTTCCATAAATACATTTATTTTAATGTGAGTTAAAAACTTCACTTGATCTCACAGCACTAGCTACCTAATATAAAAACAATAATAATTTATGGATGTAGTTAGGGCATTTTTTACTTACTTTAAAAGTCTCTGAGCGTCACTTAACAATGCCGTAGGTATGTTAGGTACCTATTTGTAAATCAAATCTGATCAAGCAAAACTCATCTGATATGATCAGACACGTGGCAAGTTCTATTGGAATTTTATGGAGATATCATGGTGAAATAGGTCTGACAACCGTAAGCAGACGTTGATTCCATGTAATCCAAGATTATTTCAAATGCCTTTGTGGTGACTTAACTTCTTCGTTTTGTAGGACTCAATAGCTTTTCTCCTCTCCCTTATACGTAGCTCCTCTTTGTTCACACCCAATTCCACTATTTTCTCCCTGCAGGCAGATTAAATCATGAAATGAGTTCCTTCTTTTTGAAATTTTCACTTCCTCAGCCCCGTAAAATTCAGGGCACCCACACAGAGAGAAAAACTTCGCGCGTGGGACCTGAAGTTGAGGCCGAATGGATTTCTTAAGTTTTCGGATCGCGCATCCGAAAACTTGTAGTCCAGCTGCCGAATTTCGGGTCAAACATCTGAAGTACTCCGATGAGTATATGCTGAAGTGCTTCAGATGTTTGATATCCGATATCCGGCAGCTGAACTTCAATTTTTCGGATGCGTGATCCGAAAACTTCAAAGATTTAAATGACCTCAACTTCGGGTAGCACGCACGAAGTTTTTTTCTCTGTGTAGGTAGGTAACAAAATTCACCCTCAGTAGCCACCTTCAGTTTTTTCCCTTTCCCTAGGCAGTGAAATCAAATGTTAAAATAAATATTGCTTAATTTATTTATTTTATTAAATTGTGTTCGCGCTCTTTGCTTTATTCAATTTCTTTGAATCTATTTAATTTGTCTTATTTTATTGCATGTGTTTTATTTTATTTCACTTGTTTTATTTTATTTCAAAGTTCTTTGATCCTGTTAAATCTGCAGCCTGATCGTTGAAATTTTGTGTTTGTCGCGGGTGGACATGGATGACGTAGGTTAAATGGCGAATGGTGATTGGTCGGCTATGTCTTATCGCTGCTTTGTCGTGCTTTGTCGATTGAAATGGACGACAAACTGTTGGGAACTCAAGAGGTGCCTTAGGTTTGTCATCCATTCCAATCGACAAAGCACGAAAAAGAAGCGATGTGACGTAGCCGACCAATCACGCTTCGCCATTTTACCTATGCCATCCATGTACACCCGACAAACACAAAATTCCCAGAATCAGGCAGCTTCTTTTGTTGGGGGAAAAAAAAAAAAAAATTTGGCTGCTGGAGTGAGTGAATGATTATATCTCCTGTTGTCGTAGAGGGGAGGAGGGAGGCATGTGCTGGTGTAGGAGGGAAGCATGTGCAGGTGTAGAAGGGAGGCATGTGCAGGTGTAGGAGGTGGGGATGTGTTGGTCGGGTCGGGTAGGGGGGGGGATGTGTAGGTGGGGGCAGTGGGCATGTGTATAGGACTAGTGTAGGTGTTGGAAGGGGGAATGTGTAGGTCGGGTAGGGGGAGGGGGGCAGGTTCAGGTGGAGGAAAGGGGGAT